AGTAACCCGCTTTCCTCCTTCGCTTCCTTGCAGGCGGAGAGGAGGAAGAGGAGGAGGAGGAGGAATAAGAGGAGGAGGAAGAGGAGGAAGAGCTAGACTAGAGGATAAAGAGGAAGAAGGAGGAAGAAGAAGAGGAGGAGGAGGAAGAGCTAGAGGAAAAGGAGGAGGAAGGAGGAGGAGGAAGAGGAGAAGGTGGAAGAAGAGGTGGAGGTAGAAGAGGAGAAAGTGGAAGGAGAGAAGGAAGAAGAGGAGGAGGAGGAGGAGGAGGAAAAGGAGGAAGAAAAAGATAAGGTGAAAGAAGAGGAGGAAGAAGAGGGGGAGGAGGAGGAGGAAGAGGAGAAGGTGGAAGAAGAGGTAGAGGAGGAGGAAGAGGAGGAAGAAGAAGAGGAGGGTGCCGGTGGGTGCCCGCCGTCCGGCTTCGGTCCCGGGAAAAGTTCTGGCGGCTGCCCTCCCTCCGTCCGGCCCATTGACTCGGACAACCCGGCTTCTTTCGGGGCGCTGTCCCGGCGCCTCACTTCCCCTTGTCCGGCAAGGCTCGGACGCTCCGAGCGGGCGTGGCAGGGAGCGAGAGCAGCAGCCCGTACCGCATGTGGGAGGCTCCCCCCGTGGACTTCAGGGCTCGGTCTGCCCCTTGGGACGGCCGAGAGAGAGAGAGAGAGAAGCCGAGGTGGCGAGGGTCTCCCCCGAGATCATCCGCACGTTCCAGGTCCCCCGGCTCGTAACTGATCCCCCGAGAAGGCGAGGCGGATTCGCCAGGTCTCCTGGCTCCCCTCCCCTCGATCTCCTCCGGGGAATCTGGCAGGGATTTTGCCCTGGGCTCATTTAAGGAAGGGGGGGGAGAGGAATGGGGGGGACCCCTTTATTTTCCGAGGCAGCATCAGCTGCGAATAAAAGAAAGATTTACCCGTCCGGCTTCCTTGAAAAAAAAGGAAGCAAGACCGAGCCGATTAAATCACTGGACGGGAGACCACTCGGCGATCCCAGGATAGTGAGCAGTGAAATCTGGGGAGAGATTCCCCCCCCCCCGCAGAAATCAATGGGGACCCATTTTCCCTCCTCCTGCCGAGGGAAGGAGGGCGAAGGAGGCCCCGGGAGCCCAGCTGCGAGGGTCGATCTCCCGCTTGACTCTTTCCCTTCGGGGGATCGAGTCCCGCAAAAGAGATCGTTTGGCCGGCGGGAAGCTGGTTGGGATGATCTTACGAAGCTCCCTGCCCAACGTTTGCAGATCCAGGCAGTGGCTTGTCTGTCTCTCTTCCCCCCCTCCCCCCGCCCACTCGTGTTTTTCTTTTAATATCAAGAGGACAAAGGAGAGACGGAGGAAAATCCCAGCAAGAGACAAGATCCAGCGGAAAAAAAAACGGATGCATGAAACAAATTCCTTTCCTTCCTTTTCCTCAGGCTTCCTTTGCCCGAGTGGAAAGATTCAACAGGAAAAAATCTCTCTCTTTCTCTCTCCAGATTTTTATCCTTCTTGCAGCTGATGAAAATAATTTCTTTTTTCTTTTTCCAGAGCGGATCCCTTGCCTCAGACTTTTGAAAGAGCGGGGAGCATCTTTAGCGGGGAATCCTTGCGATTTTTATTTATTTATTTTCTTCCTCTTTTTTTTTCCCCAGGATTTAGGTGAAAGAAGCTGCAAAGCTTTGACGCTTGGCGTGGGCTCCCCCTGCTGGACACCACTCCAGAATGGCTGCCCAATGACCCCGGGTTCAAATCCACAGCCAGCATGGAGAAGACTTACTCGCTGACCGCTCACTACGACGAATTCCAGGAGGTGAAGTACGTCAGTAAGTACAGCAGCACCGGGGCCCTGCCCAACGGGTTCAACTTACAGTTGGGCGCCGCCGGGGCCAAGAAACCTCGCTGCGGCCTCCCGCGGTGGAGCCGGAGGGAGATCTGCCTGCTCTCTGGCTTGGTTTTCGCGGCGGGCCTGTGCGCCATTTTGGGCGGCATCTTGGTCCTCAAGTACCTGGCTTTGGATCAGGCGGCCTACTGCTTGGAAGGGTGCCAAGAACGCCGGGCCTTCAGCAAGGCGTCGCGATTCATTGCCACCAACATTGACCCCACCATCGACCCTTGCAAGGACTTCTACTCCTTTGCCTGTGGCGGGTGGTTACGCCGGCACGGCATCCCGGAGGACAAGCTGATCTACGGCACCATCGCCGCCATCGGCGAGCTGAACGAGGAGAAGTTGGGACGGTTACTCCGTCAGCCCGTACGACGTCCTTATCGGGCCTCGGCCGAGCGGAAAGTCAAGGAGTTTTTCCGTTCCTGTCTGGATATGACGGAGATTGACCGTCTGGGCGCCTGGCCGATGCTGGAGGTCCTTCAGGACTGTGGAGGATGGGATATGGGGGCCCTGGGTGGGCAAGGCCGGTGGGACTTGGATGAGCTGTTCTACAAGACGCAGGGAGTCTACAGCACCACCGTCTTCTTTGCCTTGACGGTTAACCTGGACAGCAAGAATTCCTCCCGCTACGTCATCCGGGTAAGTAGATGCTACCGATTGGGACCGTGGGTGGATCAGATTAAAAAGTGGGGGAACGGATAGAAGGGAGGACCAGATCTCTGGGGATCAAGGCCTCTTGGGTATATCGGGGATCCCCACCCCTATTTCAGGGACGCCACAGCCCTCTTTGCATGCAACCCAACCTCACCCTGGAGAGACTGGCACCGTATTTCTCAACTGTAAGATGTATGGACTTCAAGTCGGGGGATTTTGAGAGTTGAAATCCACACATCTTAAAATTGCTGAGTTGAGAGATCGTTTGGATCTCTTGGGAGCTAGGTCGACCTCTAGTGGCTGCGTCGTGAATTGCACCTGATAGCGGTGTGCTTAATATTCCTATTTTTTTCCTGATAAATCTTGTCATCTATGACTGCTTTGCGTTTGGGAACATACAGCAGCACCCTTGAACTCAGATCCTCTTGTGTTCATACAGATTTTTTTCCCCTTCTTTTGGTGTTGATTTTTCGATGCATTCTGAATTCGCCTTTCTTCCCATTGAAAAACCAAATAATCGTTTTTCAATCAGCGATCGGTCCAAAAGGCTGAAGTTATTCTGTTTCCAGCAGTTAGAAACTGCCTTCTCTCCCAACATTGGCCAAAGGATGCACCCCTTCTCACAGGTCATAACGTCATTGTGATTTTTAGCAACTGCCTGTGTGCATTTCTCCTTGAAACCGGACAGAAAACCAACAGATGTTTTGAAGGCAACCCAACCTGGCTGGCTCTCACCAAAAAAATCTCTTGTTTTTCTTCAGCCCCTTGGGAAAACCATTCCTCCTGC